GTCTACTGGGTGGACAGCATGGTCGAGCGCATAATGGTCCGCCTGGGAAACTCAACTCGCATTCTCATCCGGTCTGGCTTCGTCATGACGCCCATTTCCTGACAGTTCGTGCCAGCCGAATAGGGCAAGAATGTGCGGTCTAAAGCACCAGGCGTCCTTCTGTTGCTTCGTAAGTTCGCAGCGCTCGGAGGAAACTCGATAGACTCACGCGGTTCGTACATTCACCCGCCGGGGGCTCCACGACCGGCGCACACATAAGTCCCGACAAGAATCGCCCGCGGGTTTCCATGGGGCGACGCGGAAACGCGCGGCTATCCGTGGAATCGCAAAGAGTCGAAGCGACCAGGTGGTCCGGGTCTGGGATAGCATGGTATGAGCTGGTAGTTCACAGTATGGGACAGAATGCCGATATTCCGTACGTACACTCCCGCGTATATGAAACGGAACCCAGCCTCTAGAGGTCTGTGCTCGCCTTGGCGCGAAGACGGCGAGGCATCTCAAGGCATGAGTTTGAGATGAGCATTGCGCGGTCCGATGCTCCGGCGCGAGCAGCTCTTGCAAGCGAGAGCACGACGCGCACGAGTTCCGCTCTACGCAATTGCAATCCGCTTGCACGGCAGGAAACTCGCTTCGGTGCGAGGCCCGTAAGTCCTTAGACTATTACACGGTCGACAAAACGTATTGGGCCACGGACATACAACGATTTTCAGATTGAACCATTGTGTACTATAGCAGTATTGATATACTGGAACACAAGGTTCGTTATGGAAAGGCACGACACTGCGGGTGCGCCGGCGACGCAAGCGGAACTTGGGTGCGGGAGAGATCCCCGAGGTCAGCCCGAGGTGGCGAACGGGTCTCCCTGCATTCGAGCGCGTCTCGCGCTCGTTGATCACGAAGGGAAAACCGCCAAGCAGAATCCGTCGGAGACTCGGAGCATCTGCGGCGCCCGTGAGCGTGCGATAATCGGGGCGGGGCGCGGTGACAGGCGCGTCGCAGTTCGACTTCTTCGCCGCCACCACCATGTCGTGCAAGCGCGACTGTGCTGCACGACCATAACCTGTCCAGCCTCTCTCCTTTTTGAGGTCAACCCCCTGTCGTAGGTACGCTAGATTTATCTCTCTCTGTGTTCCTAATGCTCACCACAGTGAACTAGGGTGGCCAGATGCTGTAGCAGCTGCTGCGAAGGCGACGCCGGGACCATGCAAGGTACATCTTGATTCCATTCACATGTTCTGCATTCCGCTGACCACCCCTCAGTCGCCTGGTCCATCGTACCCCGCATTCGGCGTTGCAAGCGGGAGAACTTGACTGGCGCGTCCATCCAGCCTGTTGTCCTGACATCGACTCGGACAACAGGATGCTGGCGCTTTCCTCCCGTTTTCACCAGGGTTACCAATAGCATCTTCTTATCTGTAGTGGTACGGATGTAATATGTACATAGGTTGTCCCATATGTAAGTAACACGTGCTACAACTACGTCTGGTACTCGGTCAGTGGCTATTGGTGCCGGGAAAGTTCACCGAAAACGCGATCTCGGCGAGTTCCACAAGAAGACAAGGACATGTGTCCTTGTCGTGTAGGTCTCTCCCTTGCCACCACCACTGCTTCGAAGCCTGAAGCCCACTTCCGTCTTATATTTCAGCTCGCTACAATCCAACTACTGACAATGTCGGGGCCGGGCACAAGTCCTCTGTCGGCGTCTGCCTCAGGCCTGAGCGAAGAAGGGGAGAATTGGTTCTGGCAATTCATCAGGACCAAATCGGATGGTGAACGAGGTGCTGCTGCCGCTTCCATCAATGCCATGATGGCAGGAGGTACTTTCTTTGTGTGTTTCTTTTTGTCTTCTCTACTAGCATACATTACTGAGGCCCTGTAGGCTGGTCTATTTGCTGCAATCGTGGCTTCGTTCATTCTGGTCTCTATCACTTCCTTATCGCCTAGCGACAATGCCAACACTGAACTACTTCTCGCTCAAATCATCCATATTCTCGATCCCAATGTGACACTAGCTGTCCCGATCGAACCCTTTACTATCTCGGGACGGGACAAGGCTGTCAATGTGCTCTGGATAGTTTCATTGATCATGTCTCTTGCTGCTGCACTCCTAGCCACCCTGATCCAAGTCTGGATCAGTGGGACAACTCGGGTGGATGGGGTGTATGACAACGGCCCTGCTGAGCAGTTTGGCTACAGGCAGCTGAATAACATGGTGGCTATTGATAGGTACGGGCTTGACCAGCTCGTGAATCTCGTCGTGGGTCTTATACATGGATCTTTGACTATGTATCTGGTTGGGCTGGCCATTTTCATATCAGCCTTTGATCGAACTGTTTCTTTCGTTGTCATTGCTTCGGCCGCCACCACCACCGCGATCTATGCCGGCATCAGCATCATACAGTACTTCGACCGCGACTGCCCATACTACACCCCGCTGACATTTATCCTACGACCTATCCTTCATGTGTTGGTTGCAGTTGTCGCCGTTATCGTCCTTGCGTTTATTTTCTCCTTCCTTCTCCTGAAGAAGTGGATTGTCGAGATGAATATCGAACTTCAGGACCTGAATTTCAGAAGCATCCTTTACCAGCTTGTGAGGCATGCAAGCCACACGCAGCACACCCTTCGCTACTACATCCCAGCCTACCTTCGCGGCGCCTCTGATCAAGAGTTAGAGCGTATCATCGACCGAAACTTCAACCCACCGGTTGCCCATGCTCAACTGAGCGGTGACCAAGTCAGATGGGCGTTGGAACTGGCATGGAGGGACGTTTTAGAGACTCCCATCGCCCTCTGGTACATGTCGCGCTGTTTGCTTGACCTGTCACGGCCAGGTGTTGCTGAGATTTTCGTTGGGCTCAGGAGCAACCGTGCTGCCATGATGGATCTAGCACCTGTTTTGACTCGCATCGACTCCGTTCCCAGCGCAGTTGGGGCGATCCGCCTGCTCCATGCTCTTTTCATTGCTGATGCGTCAGTGGAGCCTCACTCGCGCCCGGAAGGGTACGACGACAGTCGCTGGGAGCTCGCAGACGCCATCATGAGCGCCTTACCGGCAGCAATTCAGCGCGTGGAGGCTCAGAACAATGCAGCCCTCCAAGCTGGGGACCCCACCCTCCACATGGCTCTAGCAAGCCTTCGCTGGGCTTTGATAAGGGTGTGGGGAGACATCGAGGGCAACCCAGACCCCGGCGAACCAGGTTACCTGGCCCGCAGCAGGCTTCAACTGCTGTTCAAGTTACTTCATGGCTCTTCAGAAGGCCTTCGTCTATGCTCGATGTCGGTGGACGACGACAGTGGTGATTTGACGTCCCTCTTTGAATCAACTCCCGACCCTCGATTGAATCTTGCTACACGCAATGTTCTAACTCTCTTACGAGGGCTACAAAGGTGCAAGTGGCGAGGCAACTGGCTTCAGCCAGACTCGTCTTTCCTCCCTGCAAGTGCCCCATCTATCTGGGAATGGAGGCAGCTGCCGTTTGCACACCTACCCTTGCCCAGATCCTCTGCTAGTAATTGCTTTAGGGAACTCCTCATACAGGAGAAGGTGGCCATCAGCCATAATCCCATACACACCGTCAGCAACCTCTCCCAGCTCCACCCAAAAATCTTGAATGCACTTGACGACTTATCGTATGTGGTCGATCTCCATGCGGCACCGGAGCCGGTCATTTCGGTGTATGAGGAAGGAGGGGAGACAGCTGTGAAGCCGTGCCACCCGGGCATCCCGCTCATCACCCTTCCGAACCCCAGCGTAGCCCTTGACGAGACTTAAGGTCTTCACGATGATGGAGGGATTCGCCTACGGGAATTGTGGCAGGGGATGGAAACAAGGACATTCTACCAGATGGAGAGATCGAGGATCAAGTACCATAACCATACAGATGTACAAATGCGTGTGCGACAGACCCCGAGATGTTGATACAATTTAGTCGTGGAACGATGATAACGATGGAGAGGATGATGATATGGTGGTACATTTGTGAGGTTGAACTAGAATACATGTATAGAGTGAATGGACATGGATGACGGGCGTGATAGGAATGCAGTGATCGAGACCAGTATGCGTAAGTGAGATGGGCATGCCGAGGCTGTCTAGCTCAGCGTCGTGGCGGTCGTAAGCGATGGGACGAGCACCGAGACACACGCTCCTCATGCAGCGACCGTGGCCGCGAATCGCTCGCCGGCAAGCCACCAGTCGCGTGCGGAACGGAGCGGCGTCCTGCGCCGGGTGCGCGACGGCTTGCCAGCCATTGACTCCGGCTCAGCCTCAGGAGGGCGCGGGATGCGAAGCATCAGACACGATGATGGGCCGGGGCTCGTTGCGCGTCGAGGAGTTGGTGTCGGTGGCAGGGGTACCGTAGGCGCTGGTCCAGGCGCCGGAGGGAGCAGCGCGCGTGTCGGCGAGAACACGAAGCGCATGGGAAGGACGAAGTGGGTCAAGCGCTTATTTCCACGGTGCGGAGGAGCGACACGGTATGATGCCGGGCTCGACGCCAGCGGGGAAATGGGGAACGGCAGGCGAGTAGACGGCGTGCACAGTGCAGAGGAGTGCGCCGGTCCTGGCCACATAATCCGCTGTTCTGAGGGACTGTCGGCCACGATGGGGCTCCCTGGGGACATCGATAGGGAAGAGATGGGCGGAGTGATGTGGAACACCATGTCCGGGAGCTCATCGCGCGCGGCGGACTCAGGGGCGCGAGTGTGCATGGCTGTTGGTGCCCAGCCGACGCTGTCTTCGCGCGCCACCTCGTACGCGGAGAGCTTGACCTCGAAGGGTGCCTGGAAGGGATGAGGCGCCTTCGGCTCAACGGGGCTTGGGATGAAGAACGCGTAGATGCTCGGACTCTCCGGTACGGTGAGCATGGTCGAGGCGTCGAGGTCGCCACCGATGAAGCTCTCTCCACCAGCTTTGGAGAAGGGAGCCACAGAAAGCATGGGCGAGCCGGCCGGGCGAGCAAGGCGTATGAGCTTGTCCTTGCGTGAGAGTACATAGAGAACGAGTGGACAAAGGCGCTGCGAGGTCTCCAGAAACCGAGATCATCGACGGTGTCCCGGAACGCAGGCTCGCGTCGTCGCGACTCCAGCGCGCCTCCCGGTAACGCAGCCCACGCAGCCTCATCGCCATCCTCCAAGTCGTTCTCGACCTCGGCAGCGTCAGCGAAGTCGATGTCGGGCGAGCCGGACGAGTCGGCACTCCAGATGGACTGGATGACAGAGTGCACCGGCTCTTGCTGTGCGACGTTGGCGGGGATGGGCGCCGACTTCTCGTCGATGACCTCCGGCTCAGTTTCGCCGCCGATGTCGACGCCAACTTCCCACGCGCAACGTGTTATGCTGCCTTCGAACACGACGTCCTCGGCGTAGGACATGTGAACACCCTTGATTGCCTCGCGAAGTTCGTTCAGCGTGATGTGCGAGCGCCAATTAATGTCAAGGGTTTGCAGCATGATCTCGTTGACCTCGTCCGAGATGGGCAAGACGGATGGCAGGAAGCCGACGGGATCTTGAAGATAGGCCTAGGGTGAAGGGGACGAGAATCAGCAAAAGCCCGCGCGCTTTCGAAGCTACGAGGGTGCATACCTGGAATGTCGGATCGGACGCGCTGGCGGATTTCCATGGGTTCCTTCCGGTGACGAGGTTCAGCAGAATGATGCCAGCGACCAGATGTCGATGTCGTTGTAAGGAGGCGAGTACGACCCGGAAGGTGCGAATGCACCGCCCTGACATTCTATCAGATTCGGCGTCAGAAAAACGAGGCGTGTCAAAGATAAGAATTAGCGCGGCACGCACCTGGACTCATGTGGTACACGCTGTCAGTGCGGAACTCATCGCTGGTGCGGTCGGTGGTCGCGAGCCCGACGTCCTCCGGCTTCAACTCGCGAGGCGCGGGTTGTTGAGAATGTTTCGAAAGCGGCCATACGCGCGCCGACGGGCGAGAGCTTCGAGCACATAGACGTAGTACCTCAACCTTGCATGGCCGTACGGCCACTCCAGTTATGATACCACTTGCCCCGGACAGAAAGTCGGGGCGATGCGCATGGTGGTTCAGGACAAAGGGAGTTGATTGCGCAGTCCATCGCGGAAAGCATCTCCCGACCAGCTCCCACGCGTCGTCGCCCAGCAGGCTGATGCTGTAATCTACGTGCGTGGTTCGTTTGTCTCATCTCAGCTCGTCTCACTGACTAGGCATATGCAGGCGAACGTCTACCAGTCCGAACGACAATCCTCTATGTGAGTCACGATGCATCATGCTGCTGTCTGCAATGCCAAATGAACTTATGGGCTGTTCTTGCTAGACAGATGGGAAAATTGTGCACTAACCGGTGCTAACCGTGCGGACCTCGCGTTGTATGTGTTACCGTGAACGTTCCATCGTACTCTGAACAAGCGAGAGAAAAGGTTCGGGACCATTTTACGGAGGTGAACCCTGCGCAATACTGCATACGAGTTGCCACAATGTTGATATGGTTTCTTACAGGAATGTACACTAGATGCGTACTGGGACTGGCGGACATCAATGACGATGCTCTGCTACTATTAGATGCTCGATGTACACTGCATTAGGTGGAGACTAGGCATCTACCCTAAAATTGTAGTTGTCACTTTTGCCTTGCGCGACTTCCTGCCCCGACCCCAAGCCCTGCCGACTGCGGATCTGCCTTGCGAAGGACCACCTTCATTCGAACTTCCTTCGCAGACATCCTGCTCAACTGTAGCTTCCACGGACGTTCTGAGATTCGGGATATCTTGGGCGCCTTCGTGTGACTCTAGGGACAAGCCTTCCGAGGTGTGCAAAGCGAGGAAGCGCTGAGCGGACGCTCGAAGCTCGGCAAATTGAGCGCGCCATTGAGATGCTTGAGTGCGGCGAATCCAAGCCTGCTTACATGCATAAGCCTGTGCGCCGTCCTCCCAGGCCAGGTCGACTGCGTATGAGTGCCTCGCGCCGTAGTCCATCTTGTCCGTCGGCCGTCGCCGCGCCTCCCAAATCTTCGCCATGCTGACGTTGAACTGCACCACCCGCCGCATCTCTTCATCAAGCAACCGAATCTCTTCCACCCAGTGCTGCGCCCGCGCTCGGCTTTTGCACCACTCAACCATGAGTTCTATAGATGAGTTAATAACGCTCTATCAGAAGCATCTCATCACGGCTCACCATCTGTGATAGCCAAACCCGATTCCTCCGTCCTGTTGTACCAGATCCATGGCAACAGGTAACGCGTCTCTCCAGACGAATCCGCATCCCGCCTGCCCGCCAGAAACCGCTGAACGTTGTACTCCGACAGCTCCTCCATCTGTTCAAGCAGGCGATCACCAAGACCCCGACAATCACTATCCTCTAGCTTGCGCATCGTCTGCTCCCATTCTCCCTTCCCTACTAGAGACTCGTACGCCTCACGGTGTCGTCGATAAGCATCGGCTGCCCTCGTAACGTTTGCGTTGACAACATCCTGGGCCTCGCGTGCGCGGGTGTTATTGGTCTGTCCTGTTATATGCGTTAACTTGAACTTGTTCAAACACCCTCTCAAACGTAATTGCTGCCTGAGACGGCTGAGCGCCTCGATCATAGACTGCCATCGCAGCCTCGCCTCCAGTCCGCGTGTCGCATCTGAAGTGAGACTGATGTCTTTGTCGGGTGCACCTGATGGTAGAAAGAGCTTGACAGTAAGCGCCGCCTGACGATCCGGATCGCGCTCATCCAGCGTGAGCGCGCTGTATATCTCAGGCAACAAGTCCTTCTGCCCCTCCCTTAAGCGTACAATGTCGCGCCAGATGGCGTTCAGAGCGTGCTTTCGGGCGAGCGCCTGGTCTGACGTACCACCCGAGGTCTTGTACTTAGTTGGAAAGCGTGCCCTGTTTGCTTGATTAGCGAGCTTGCGTCCGCTTTAGCCCCGGCCCAGTACCTATGCTCCTCAATCTCGAATCCGAGCTTTAATAGCGCCGATAGTGCTGCCTGCTCCTCGCTATCCATTGTCACATTGAGGTTTACGCTCAACCCTTGCGGTTGCTGCGATTGCAGTTTGATTTCCGTAGCAGATAGATCGTCTGTGAAGCGGCATCAGTATGCTTGAGACAACAAACCAGCGAGGAAAGGGTGGGTGTTGAGCAGTGAAAAGGGTTGTGAACTTACCTAACTGATTGACGTAGTAAGGACAGTTCGAACCCTCCTTCCTCACCGGGTCTTGTTCCCAGACCTTGAGGGCCGCTCGCGCTTGAGTTACTCTGGCAGCATCTTCGGCTTCAAGTGCACCCGTGAATTGCGTGAAGACTCCTGTCTGTGACCGGCCTTCTTCCAGTGCACGGACCATGCGCTCACAGAGCAGATCAGCTACTCGCAGAGTCATTAGTCGAAGCACCGCGCAATCACAAACACTCGTTCACCTAGGCCGCAAACCTTCCTCCAGTTCCATGAGCCAGCCATGTCGTCCATGGTGTCACTCATGCCTCCCGCAGTCATCTCTCGAAGACTGGGCGCTGCTGGATTTGCGCCAGACCATACACGCTCGCATCCTTCGCCATCTGTCGCCCCAGTTCCAAATAGCAATCCAAAAGCGTAGCGTAGCTGGCAGTAGACCTTGTGGGCGTAGAGATGAAACTTGGGAACCACGTATGTGACCGTCCTCTCGAGATGGAGTTTCAGGAGCTGTGCAGCTCCCGGGTACACCACACAATCCGGAGTTATCCTGGCCACCCGCTCACAGAGTCGTTTGCTCCATTGGCAGGCTATATCGTACGAAATGGTGACCTCCGCGCAGTTCAGGAAAGATAATGCCCCGCAGAGTACCCAGTCCACCGTGCTGTATCTGATCTCACAGAGGCTGTCAATCAGAAGGACGTCTTCGTTCAGAAGACACAACGCACCGCTCCCCTTTCTTAAGCGTAGCCAGACCCAAGACTTGTACGAACTCATGGCGTGCACAGAAGCACCCGGCAATCCCAGTAGTCCGCATTCCCTTGCCACCTCTCAGGTTGGCCATTGTCAATGCACCAAAGCGAGAACAGTCGCCGGGCTGCGTCGTCTCAGAGTTAGATGAGACTTGCTGAATGACGTCTAATCGACGCACTTCTTCATTCAAATTCTTCTCGGCCCTTTGAATGTAGGCATCGTATTCCACCGGAGGGGCCATGTAAGCGCTGCCATCAGTGAGGTTCTTGTCTCCCCTGTCTTGTTTATCTGGGTCCTTGGCTAGCCTGAGCTTATTGTTAAGTCGAAAGTTGGCGTCGAGAGATAGTATGACCCTGTACAGCCACCTGGACGGTTCATGTTGAGGGTTCAAGCGTCCAGACTCAATGGGAACGGGGAACGTGCTTGAAAGGGCTGCTGGCCCAGTTGAATGGTACGTTCATATTGAAGTCGGGACAGGCTGGGCAGCGCACTGCGCAAGCACCCATAGGCGTGGCTGCTATTCCACCAGGCTCATGTCCGCGGCCACTCCGCTTGAATGCAAAGATATGTCGAAACTGGCGCACACACTGTGAAAGCTGCTGCCTCACATTCTACGTATCTTCTGATTAGCGTTTGTAAGCGCTGCGGAGATGGACGAAGCTTACCGGTATCCCGCGAAGACCGGCGCCATCAGTGGCGGACTCTAGCGCCCTGTAATAGTCGTATACATTCAAGCGCCCGAGCGATGAAAGACGAGTGAAATAGTCCAGGGCTTCGTGAGTGGTCGCTGTCTTTGGGTTAACACATGTTGCAGGCCACAGTCGGAGCCGCATGAGTTGGATATGAAATGGGACGCTTGCACCGCGGTCGCAGCCGCAAGAGTCAACGGGAATGCGATGAATGCCATTGGTGTGAATCACGGTGAAGTCTTCAACCTGGTGAACTGCGCGGAAGCTACAAGTTTCGCCGGGTGGGTGCATGAGTTGGATGCGCATGCCCAGATCGGCCACTGAAGTAGGCACATAGAACTCGCCGTTGAAACGCTACAATCCCAAGGTGAGCTTGCGCAGGTGCTTCTCTAACTTGTAGTGCCAACCTCTATCTTATGAAAGCAGTTATATCGGTGCCATTGCCTCATGCAATCCATACAGAAGTTCGCGCCTCGACAGTCTTCGCATCGAAAGTCGGGAAAGCCTTCCTGGTTGCAGCCCGGACAACACTCCAACCCAAGCGCATCAGCGCGCCCGTCCAAGCGGATGACCTCATTTAGAAATATGTCCCGCCATAGGAGAGCCCATCGTACGATGGGAAAGTCCTGCGCTCAAGTCAGTAACCAACAGCTGCCGACGAGGGAGCCACTTGCCGCAAACAGGGTTCTAATGCGCTTCTCTGTTCTACGCAGGACCGGCTCCCCTTCGAGCACGAGTGGATCATCAGAACTACGCTCTTCTTGTTGCGCGGGTGCTGCACCAAATGAGGGCGTGTATCATCACACAAGTGAACCCAGCCTTGCCTTTGCCTGAAGCTCCCTGCAGTGCCACACCTCCAAAAGGCGCACGGAAAGCACGACTTAGTCTCTCCTGTCCTATCTCTTGAAGCACCAATGAGGATAGAGTGGATCTTCCTCCGAGCCCCTTGTGCTCATGAACAACTTTAGGGCTCTGATACAGAATAGGTCCGACGATGGGAGGAGCGCGGACATCTTTCGGAGAGCAAAAGGCGAGCGTGCTCCGAGCCAGGTTACTAGAGGGCGAGCTTCGCGTAAACGTTGATGTCGAAGCGCCACGTAGAGCTGATCGAAGTCGCTTCGAGGGAGAAGACCCTTTGCCACCCAGCTCGAGGGGATGGACATCAGCGTCCGCTGAACGCTTCATCGTCGGACAACTTCGGAGGATGGGGACGTCGACTGAGATGCGGATTCACCGTACGGGCAGTAGGTGTGTTCAAGTCATGATCTGAGAAAAGAGAGGGTACGGCCCTCACACGCACTCGTATGCACATCAACGAGCAGCAAGCGCAGTATTGGCCGTTCCTTACACGTATGCTCAGGGTTGCTTTCGGTGCGCTCAATACTGCGTACGCTTGGGCCGCTGCGAATTGGCCGGACCAAGCCTGGGAGTCGAAGTCTCTGCTGTGCAACTGGCCGCACCGGGGTCTTCGTCTCCGACCTTCAATCCAGTTTCATACATCCCTGGATACGGGTCATCAGACGGTCGCGAGCGCGCTCGATGAACCGTTAATTGGAGATCACGACCAGCGGCCATGGCCCGTGCCTCTTCCGAGCCCTTACTCGTGGTCTTACTAGTCTGACCAACGTTTCAAAGTAATGATCGACTGAGCATCGGGTCGAAGCTCGAACCGCCGATAAAGCAGGGGGACGTCCACTACGGTCAACAACCTGCCAGCACCATAGGACCACAACCGTTGCTATCTTGCAACTTCACCTAGAGAACCGAGACGCAGAGGCGTTGCACGATGGTCGTATAGCTTGAGGGGGAGGTCGAGGACGTGAATGCTACAACGAGGCATGCCGGAATTCCGGGCCGGCGCGCCGAGAGATCATGGTCATTGGGAGTTAGGATGGTTATTTGAACTGCACACACGCAAGCGGAACGTGCTAGTGCACTACGGAGCTAGTAGAGCGAGCGCCTATGGCACGCAAGTTGCAATGTTTCACGTTCGGGCGAGGACTGTGGGCGTCCATTAGACCGAGCAGTACTTGCGAAGACGTAGCACCTACTGACAAATCAAGAGGTAGCGCAGTTCCACTGGTACGGCCGAGCAAGGCTTCATGTTGCTCGATACAGCCCGCGTCGTATGTGATCCGTGTCCGGAGTTTTCCTATCAATTATCAGGCGCAGTAAGCGTCGTCAACATAGTGGATAGCGACGATGTCAAGCCATGCGCACCATTTCATCATGAGCAAGATCATATAACACGTCGCTGGGCAGTACGGCTGTACCATGCTTCTCACGAGATCGAGAAGAAAGATCGCACAACGCTGAACGGACCTGGCCTGGAGCGCATCTGGTCGTTGATCGCTTTGTCTGCTGTGTACAACCGCTTTGCCGAGGTTGCCCAAACGCGCCATGTCGATGCAAAAACGGTACGCAACTCGGCAAGCGTCTCGTACGACACGAACTGATTGTGTGAGATGTCCTCGAAGCTCTAACCTACAACGGAGGTGTTAGCGCCTCTTTCTCTTCAACCGCACCCTCACAACTACCTCCCTTCCCGCAGTTGCTGTCTCACTCTTCCGGGATCAGCATCAGGCGCTTCTGGCGTTGCGCTCGGCATCTGCGCGCGGCGTGTCCCAACATTCAGCGCCAGCCCCGTCAACTTCTTCAGGAACCGTCTTCTCGTCCTTCGCCTTGATCGCGTCCGTCTTCCTCTCCAGCACCGTAACGAGTATCCTTCTCGTGTCCTGCGTGGTGCGCCCGGCTCTGTCAGCCGGTGCGAAGCTCGAAGAGCTGCGGTCTATGTACCTGTGATGAGTAATACAGTCAGCGCTAGACACATGATGTAGTAAGAGCGAAAGAACGGACCTCCGTTTCCAGCGCGGCCCACTCGTTCATGATCGTATAATGCGACTACACGTTCAGAAGAAGCGCCATCGTGAATATAATATCCAGCAGCGTAGTATTCGCCACGAATCCTTATGCGCGAGTAGACTATGAGATCCCTCGAACTTGTAAGCTTTGCGCCGAACCTCTTCGGCGACATTGTTTTGCCATCCTAAGCCGCCAGGCGTCTGCGAACATGGATTATTGAGTACGAAGACAAAGTGAAGGCAGACGACATACCAGAGGGGCTGAGTATTTGGGACGAAGACCTCGTCGAAGTCTTGCGAGAGGGGCGCGCACGTCTTCCAGATCGCAGAGTCCTTCCACACATACGCCACCTTTGCCTTATTGAACTGAATTCCCTTCGCACAGGTCATAACAAACACTCCTACTCACTTGCAGTCCGTATAGGCTCGAGTCCTTGACAGAGACGTGCCGCTCCGAGCATTTGAATCCTCTGTGTGGGCTTGGAGGCGAGGCGCGTAGGACACGGAAAGCGCGCTATGAACCTCGCGCGCACCCCAGACGCCCGTCCGATCCGCCAGTTCTTCGGCATCCATGCTATAGCGCAGATAAGCGACGAGTCCCCCGAGTTGCTATGTGCGTACTTCCCTTCCGCGACCCATGTTGTGGGAGCACCAGGTCAAGATGCGCCGATGATGGGGGCAGCAGGTCAAGATGCACCACCGAGCAGGTCGTGCGGCCCGGTCTCCGATCAGGGCGAACTCCTTCCGCCCCCGCGTTCGACTCACTTGCTCTTTGCGCTCATCATCCAGTTTTCCAGTAGAAATATATCACTTGCCTTTTTTCCTGGACGCTCCTGTACGTACAGTGCATCACCGACCCTCTGGATGCGATAAATCTCATGGCAACGTTCCGGGTCTTTGATCACATCTTTTCAGATTGGACATCGCACAATCTCAAGACGTCAGCGTTAACGACTCTCGGACCCCACATTGAAAGACCTGGGGGCGTACACCTCCCCGGATGCTTTGAAAAATGCTCATTACACTACGCGGAACGTAGTACGTTCTCATTCAGAGCCCGGTGATCCCGATCTCCTGGTCGGTCTGGTTTATCCGGTTTCATACCCGCCTCGAGCTGACAGGCAACCCGGACAGTTTCAACTAGATTATGGCGGCAACCTGATGCATAGTGGAACTTACTTCTGGTCATGACGCTCGATCTCTCACTCGCCCCAGTCGGCTTGTTCAGACACCTCCTGGCATTCTAAGTCCCTGGCGGTCCCGAAGATATAGGGCGCTGTGGTCACAGAGCAGCGCCCGTACTCGACGCACTACAAGACAATTTGAAGATACTCTTTTGTATCCACTCTGTATCTCTCTTGCTTCGTTGACTCTTGACAGTCGACGTTGAGAGCACAGAAGTGGCCGCTCTCGCGTATCGTCGTGCTATTGACCTCGCGGCGGATCATGATCGATGGTGCCCAGCCGCCTCCCTGTCTTGCGAGATTAGTCCAGTTGCCCCAAGCATCGAATCAGCCTAGGCGCTACGATCTCTACTTGCCGACGTGCAATCAACTCAATGACCTCGCGGAGCGGGGAAGGCTCATCGACCCGCACCCATGTCATCAGACCACTATCCGCTCATCAAGAGGAGAAGTCTGGGTACTTAGTGGGCCCGGTATGTTATCACCTGGCTCTTTCGCGTGATTGAAGTAACACTGGAGGGAGATGCGCCTGAAGTCAGTACCCCATGATCTGGCCCATGCAATGTGCCATCTGGTAGAACGCACTGCCGGCCCTCGAACAGTGTGCGACGCTCTGTCAGCAATGGTTCTAACCTTCTCTTCTGCACGGGCGGCCTTGGCAGGCTATGATAATGCACCTGTACAAATCTCGGCGCCTCAAGCGCAACTGCTAGTCTCATGGAAGATCCTTGTCAAGTCTCTGCGGCATCTGAGAATGTTCTCGCCAGCCCCAGCCCTCATTATCTGATAAGTTACATCATAGCGCTTGGTATTGCCGTGAAGTAGACCGTACAACGACCAGCCCTCAACCTCAGCAATCTCTCTGAGCCTGGAGTTGCCGCATCAGATCGGCGCTGTACGCGTACAACCTGGGCTTCTTTAGACGCTCGGCCCCGACGGTCCTGATTTAGCACTCCATTGAGTTTGGCACCAATCTCGGCGCCCTTAAGTACGCACTTCCGGTCGAAAATCTGTCGCAACGCGCCCAGTGACCAGACTCTCCACTCAACTCTCACCACGCCAGCCTCCTTGTTGCAATCCAGTTCTTCATCAACGATGCTATTCACTGGAGCGAGATCGCCGAGCATCGAGAAATGCACCGCCTTCGACCCGACGGCTTATACCTCTCTCTTACTCGGATCTCCCGTACTATCATCGTGGGATTATCTGCCCTCCGGAATGCCTTTCCGCTCTGAGGCATCGCATGTCCAGTCGTCGACACAGCGAGACGCTGACATTCTGAAGTGGACTTCGGACGACATGGTGACCACGGTGCTTCCGCATGGTCTCAGTTTACGAAGTGCTAATCCGGCAGCGTACTAGGTTTCCGTCTTTACCCGGCGCGACGGGACAAGTTCGCAAGACCGATCCGCGCTCAATGAACATCTTCAGGATGAGCCCGCCCATGTCGCCGATCCTTCTGCACCCCATCAGACGTCATCCAGAAGGGCGCCTAGCGCGCCCTCAAGTCCGTTCATCGACTTTGCAACAACGGTCCCTCACGATGCGTTTGAGGCTTCACGTACGAGCGCGACACCGTCCAACTCAAGTTCAACTCCGCCACCGCCTAAGCTCTTTCGATGCCACCAGCCGCGCTGTAATAAAGCCTATACAGGACGAGCGGGTCTCAAGTACCATCTAGCGCACGGCTCTTGCTCTGGTGGTCCAGGCAGGCGCGTCGAGATATTCGAGGCTCTTCTCGCCGAAAGGGGCTATTCGACTGAAGATGATCTTCCAGAGAACGAGCTGCGCGATGTACAAGACGAGACCGAACGTCGACTCTGTCCGGTTGAATGCGCGGTTGGCGAATGCAGACGCCGATATAGGAGCATGAACGGGTTGCGATACCACTACCGTCACTCCGGACAGCACGGCGTCGACGGTCTCCGTCTACTCGCTTCTGGAAAGCACAGATGTCTCCAGTGTCGTACGGTCCGAGGGCGTCGCGCCACCCAGGCCGCTGCTGCTGCAAGGGTTGCCGAGCTGGGAGCAAAGGTCTCTTAGGTGCTCGTTGTTACCTGGGATGCGCGTGAAAGACTGAGCAGAGGCCTGCGCGTTGATGCATGATGAGAAAGTGCAGTCTATTTCTTTACTTCTCGGTCCTCCTGCATTGCCTGGTATGCTTAGCATAGTCAGTATCGTCCTACACAACATCCGCCTCACGTCGGTACAGTTCGTATAGAGTAGAGCACATGTTGTTTGTGATTGTATACGCACGTGCTTGGCCTTGAGAAGTGCCTATAGTATCGGCCTGGGATGAGTAGAGTACACTTGGAACGTTCCGCACATGGATTACTGTATTCGACCGGGGTTAGTTCCCGCGGTTCCCTTGCGTTCTCGCCTGACCAAGCTCGGCGCCACTGGCGGCTATTAAGGTTTGCCAAAGATCGTTCCAAAAAAGGATATACACGAGTTTACATACGTCGTCGTCGCTGTGCGTGTGCGCCGCGGGCTTCGTTTGCAATGAAATGGATCGTGATGGCCCGTGGAGGGCCGCAATGCAGTAGATGTGAATTCGTTCTCAGCCACCAACTCTTCCCGATCTCCCACCAGGACACGATTATCAGCGACTACCAGCGCAGGCTACTGGAACAAACTATTCTTGCTGAACCCGTATGGCTGAAATCGCAGCGGGATCTTTGTATTTGTCTGATCAGTGTCACCCAGATACACCGCTTCAAAGTTGTCTCAGCAGTACCTATCCGGTATGTAGATGTACAGTGCCATGTCTAGTTCAGCGCTGAAACCGTGATAGAGTTGTGCCGTACCAAAGCCAGCGATGTCCAGCACTGAACCTCAGCCACCTGCACAGTCTATCAGGCCGGCGGGCTATCGGCATGGTCGCAACAGTACAGTCTGCTACATGCTCGCTGATTGCCATTCTCTCACACACTTTGAAGTAGCGAACGCGACTATATGGGATATGCACCGGGGCCTTGTACATTTTGCCCGCCAGGCTGCACCAGTCGCCGCCGCCGCCGCCGCCCCACCAGAACCTGCCCAACTTGCCCAACCTGCAGATAACCCCGCACCGGCGCCTAATGTGGACCAAGCAGCACCACCAGCTGATGCCATACCGCCCCAAAACCAACTTGCTGTAGCAGACGAACATCCCCCAACCCTATGGGCGATCATCCTCGCCATTCTTCAGAGGATTTGGAACACAATAATAGAGCTTTGGAAAACGCTCGTGGAGAGGATAGGCCTCGCACCTGGCTAGAATGCGATGCGCACGGAACACGAGGCGGGCTTGAATCTCCTTGGTGAACATATGCCCAACGCATAGGGATCCATGAACATACATCTTGATTTCTCTTACTATCGCGCCGAGCACTCTTCTGGTTAGTGGTGATCGTCGACGAACTTCTCCCAACTTGCACTTTGGTCACAAAGACATATCAATCTCGGGTTACGTATGATTGCGATGCGCCACGCGCAAGAGGTATGCGATACTAAAATTAAAGGATACATTTGAAGCAAGGGGCCATAAACGCGGGGCATTGAAAGCATTAGATACGAAGACAAGGACGGCGTAGCCAAGTGATAAGCGCATGAGATGGAAGTAGTAAGTGGTACCGGTACAAGCACAACGGAGGTCTCACGAAAACCCTGATTCGAACGGAAGCCTTTGAAATGTCCGTGTAGTTTGTGATGCTCCAACAACGGTGACTGGACGCAAGCTTGGATCAACATTTCTTAACGTACATAGTTCACTCCTACATTCAGACATCTACTTAGCACTCCCGTTGCAACTACGGCGATCGAAGTATGCCTGTGGCGGTGTCGAGAGCGTGCTGTGCTCGGCGAAGCTGTGCTCGACGGAGCTGTGCTCGGCGAAGCTGTTTGACTGAGAAGGCGCTCGACAGTCAACGATGCTTGAAAGATCGTTTAGCACGTTCAACGCGACGGCATCGAGCGGCATAGAGGTAATGTCGGCGCTTGGACACGCATGCGCCGAAAGTTTGGCATACTCCTGATCGAGGAGCTCTCGCAAACAGTCGGAGGCAGGAGGGGGTTGCCAAAGGTGTTTCGGAGCAAACATGCGGCGCCACGCCCACATCTCGGGGTATCCCTTGGGGAGGTAGGGTTCGTCAGGCTTATGCCAGCCAGGAGGCCATCCGCATTCCTGCACGCCCTTCAAGTACGTCAACGTGCTGCGGGCAGCGAGCTCGAGGCGAGGATCGACGGACGAGTCGAAGAGCACGTTCAGATCGTCATGGTCGCTCGATGACACCTTGCACATGCGAAGACCGTCAGTGTCGTGAAGTTCGGTGAGGAGCCAACGTATTTTGCTCCTGGCTAGGAATCCGAGGTCCTCGGGTGTACGGGGGTTCCCTACGATATCGCCCCAGGCCACTATGAGCGACGAGCGGAAGCTCGATATGGCCGTGTGCAAGGTGAGGTCGCCCTGCCGTAGGGCTTCGGCGTTGAGAGCACCTACTCGCTTGATGAAAGCGGACAAAACGTCGAAGATGGCGTCCATGTTCTCCCAGCGCCAATCCCCGTTGGTAAAGCGGCGAGAATCACGCTCCGTGGAACCCTCTGCCGAAACGAGCATCTGTAGGAAGCGGACCGCCCCGATCGCCGCGGGAACAGTCACGACGCTGTCCAACACTGCAGCAATGTTCGCCATGATGTCGCGGTCGTTGCGAAGGTATGCGAAGAAGTCCGAGACGCCCTGTTGCTCCATGCTGATGAGGCACCTGGTCATGTACCAGAGGGCGTCGGGAGTTGATAGCAGGGATGGCCATGCGAGCGTCGCGACGTTGATCAGCTCTCTTGCCGTGAACGGGCCGTGGTGTGAGAGCTTCCCGAAGTGGTTCTTGATAAGCTCTTCGCGTTCCGTAGCGGGGGATCCGCGCATGAGGGACGCTACCATATCTTGCAGAAGCTGCGCGCTTTGACTGGGGTGCATCAAGAAGACCACGATGCGCCGAAGACTGATATCACGGAGGTCTATGTGCTTGTTGGATATCCAACCCCGCACCGCATAGCACACGCATATGGCGTAGAGCACAATGCAGGACAGAATTGTGACCAGACTGAGTGCGGCCGCCCGGATGAGGTACGACAAGGGCGTATAAGAAGGACAGTCCGAGTCGAACAGAGGGATAAAGCTGGCGACGATGTAAAACAGCGCGACCCCGACGCAGAGAACCGCGACGGCAACGGCCAAAGTTGTATTGATCGTGGAGAAATGAATGGCCAGTCCTATGAGGAATACGATCACGGCTGAGTGCAGCAGTCCGACGACTACTCCTTCGGTATGATCGAGACCGTAGCGGCGAATGGCCACGAGTTCCCGGAGTCGTCCGAACGCATGTTCCTCTAATGCGGCGGTCACGGGGGGGCCTTTCCTCATGGGATCGCTCAACCAGCTCTGGGCCAAGGTTGCCAGAATAGCACAGAACAACGAGAGAACAAGGGCGAAGGACCACAGTATATTGACGGCTACATCGATCTCAGTCGGATGGAACGACTCGATCTCGAAGTCCGACACTGCTGAGGTTATGTTCGAAACCAACAGTTGTGCCAAAAGCGCATTCGTGCGAGCAAGCGCCAGATTCCCGGCCTGGGCGCTTGAGTCGGGTAACAGGGAGTTGGGGCCGTTCACGACGAACACAGAGACCGACGAGGCGAAAAGACCAGCCTGGTTGTTGTTGTCAGCGGTGATAAGGCAGAGGGACGGTAGTGACCTACAACGATCATGATACTGGACATTGCTGCGTTGCTCCGGTAAGCAAGCTCCCCTCTCTTGTCGTCTACGGTGTCCAGCGAGATGGACCAAAATCTGAACCCCCCCTCTTGCGATGTAGTCGACGTGGGAGGCGGCTCCTCCAGTTTCAATGAGCTCATGGCAATGCGCGGAAGCGGGCTAAAATGCAAGTGAATGCGATGGGGACGCGAGTGGTGGTGGAAGACAAGTCCTGGACGTGGGTGTTGCGTCCAGCACGATGATTCAGACGGATCCGGTCTTGCTCCGCTATCTGTGACCACCTCCCGCTTTCTCCCACACCGCCCGTGCTTCGAGTACTGCCTATGGCTTGACTACGTGCTGTAGGCTATATCTTTCTCTGCGGTCTACCGTCTCATCCTGCTTCCCTGTCTGCATTCGTCCACATTCGTGATATGTATATTCTCCCATGACAGGAAGAGCCAACGACGTGACGGACCCGGTAGTGCCGCGCTATGAGCATCAAGCCACGTTCCCTGGTTGCCCTTCCCATCTTAAGAATGAAGGTAGCACATTGGACCTTGCACAAATCTCACAGTCGGGGTGGAGGCACGGATGCTACGGACTTCGCCTTCCATGCCAGGCGTACATGAATACCTGTCTAAGAACACGTGTCGTGGATGAAGAACCTCATGGATAGCCTACTGCTACGGACGTAGGATGAAAATGCACATGAACAGTCTTCTGAAGCAGACCTGCACATATGGGCGAATGCGTAGAGACGTCCAATGTAAGAAAGGACGACCGGACCCCGAGCGGCAGATATCGATGGTTCAACAATCTCCGCTTGTCCTGGAATCGCACTTTTGTACGTGAGACGCGGTCGTCGCTGTGCTCAGAAAAGTGAATCAAACCTGCCAAAGGTCAATCAATTAAGCGGACTGAACCCCGTATCCACGCGACGTGACACACCTCCAACCGCGACGTAGAGAGGTCTGTTCGAACGCGTGCCGATGAGCACCATTCATCACGAGGCAGCTGGTCGTTGCCCGCGCAAATCCCTTTGGAGCCTATCCGCTGCTTCTCGCACGCACCCCGAAGGTAGCGCTGAAACGTTGGGTCAGTTAAGTACCAGTAGACTACCAGTGAATTGACGAGACGCACTGTTGGGGATGGATGCAGCCACTATTGATATAAGCCGCTTTCACGACCTGCGTCCTCGATCAGCACTCGGCTTCACCGCGCGCGTAAGAAAGCAATGTACCTCCTGGCATGCAGCTTGATCCTTCCTTCAGATGCCCCGCGCACCAAAGGGGGGCCGAACAGCATTCTCAGGTAAGGTTCAAGCCTCGGCTGATGAAGAATGCACCAGTCGTAGCGCACTCGAACGTGTAGATCATCAAAGGTGCGAACATGGCGCCCGCGATGCACCTAATGGACACAGGTACGAGGTAACGCTCTCGAGGCGCGGGTTGTTGAGAATGTTTCGAAAGCGGCCATACGCGCGCCGACGGGCGCGAGCTTCGAGCGCATAGACGTAGTACCTTAACCTTGTATGGCCGTACGGCCACTCCGGTTATGATGCCACTTGCCCCAGACAGAAAAGTCGGGGCGATGCGCATGGTGGTTCAGGACAAAGGGAGTTGATTGCACAGTCCATCGCGGAAAACATCCCCCGACCAGCTCCCACGCGTCGGGACTACTGACATGGCGTCGCATACGACAGACTCGTTGTAGGTATATCACTTATACGGGATTGTTGAGTACATTGCTCATAAGATATTGCTGAAAGCCAGCGTCATCGTCAGGATGCTGATTCAGAACATCCTTCCGAATCTGCACAATTCGCATATCCGGTAGCCCCTCGTGCAGATAGCCAACGTTCGCTTGGTGCGCGGCCTCCCTAGCCGTAAAACATGTCACGAAAATTCAATTTGAGATACGGCCTCAGTCACTTACAGATGACTGAGAAGCCCCAGCCGGGCGAACTTTCTTGTCCCGCAACCGGGCAGCGGGCAAACCGCGGTCTTTTGGCTGTCGGTCTGCGACTGATTCTGCTTTGATCTCGCCTTCTTCAAGTTTCGCTTCTGTGTTCTCGTCAACTCATTCCCGCTTTCAGCCTTGCGTTTAGACGGGAGTAGCGATGCTGGCGTCGTGAGTGGAGGCGGCTGCAATGATGACGGTGTGCCTATTGCATGGTGAGTTGGGCATAGAGCAGCAAAAACCAGCTCACATGGTCCAGACTCTGAAGGAGGACTGTCGAGGAAACCCTCATCCGGGACGCTGGTTCCAACATCATTTTGACCCTGATCATCAGATACGCCGGCAGTGTCTACCAGATGTCAGGATGTGCATTCTGAAATGGCATAAAGGGCCAAGACCGGCCTTCAGCGACACCCAATGCGACAGGCAGGTATGCAGGCGCAGCGGAGTACTTCGAAATCCAAGGGTTCGAGTCAGGGTCCGAACGTATCTTGCTGAGGTTTTCAACCTGCCAGCGCTTGTACGTCCACCAACATATTGCCTCGAGCTGTAATACATCCTCGGAGGTCGTATCGTTGCTTTCCAATCGGTGTATGCGTAGCTCTTTCGTAATTTGCTGGGAGTATTGAACGTTACACGCTGACACGAAGTCGACGGCGATCTTGATGCAGGAGCTCAGATTGATGACCTTTCAATCGGTGAGATCCGCCCAGCTCTGCTGATGACAGCGCTCATACCTGATGGCCGACAGCGGCGGGTATGAACACCGCCTGTCCTTGCCTCTGAACAATGGTCCAGACACGCACACCCGCATCCTTCAGCTCTTGTACATCTTTGTCAGTGATGTCGAGCTGTTGAGAATGGATTGGGTCTCCCTTGAAAGCGCCTTGCTTCGAACGGCGGAGTACATCCTTTGCGAGACCCATGTCTTCACGATCTATCATAGTCCAAAGGGCGCCGCCTTGGTCGGCCTTTTCTTCGTGCAAGAGGATATTGACGGCGTCGCACATGTCGCAATGCATTTTGGTTGTCGTCCCGCCAGCCGCACTGTGGGCTAGATAGGCCTTCGGACCTGAGGCAGAGCCGTCATCGAGCGGCATCACTGAGGGAAGGCGACTAATCATACCAGTATCTGGTGGGCATGAGTTGACAGGCATGTTGACCTCGAGGTTCAAAGGTCCTCGTCTAGACGTGAGCCATGGTCCTGGGAGGCACTCCTCGAAGAGGTCGAATATTTCGGGGAATTTCGAAGCAAAGTCGGCAGTCGGAGGCCAATCCTAACGTTGATAATCAGGTTCAGCATCCGCTACGATAACTTGAGACCTGCCTGAAGCTTTTCCGGATTGTTAGGATCATCGGGACTTCCGAATTTGGCCATGAAATTCCTCAAAGCAACTTTGCGCTGTGCGCCGGTCTTCGTGTTGGTCAGGGTGACGTTTGTGTCGCCATGCTTGCGGATGAAATACTCGGGTGTAAGACCGCAACCACCAGGGCAGATGCCCGAGACCACGACAGGGAGGCCGGCTGCGAGAAACTGGTAGAGTTGGCTGTATGTGGGAGGACCGTCGGCTAGAGATATCTCAATGGGATCTCTTCCGGGGGGAAGAGTGCTGACATACGGCCCGCTGAGGCTGGAAGTTAGCAAGAGAGCGCCGCTTTCTGATAGTACGTACAGGTCCGGTAGATGATCCAAATCTCGCAACGCCTTATCTTCTTCTCCGGGTTTGAAGACTTCAAGGAACACTAAATCGTGACCAAGCTCCTCACGGCCCTCTACGCACGGAACACTTGAGAGCTGCGTAACGGGTCAGCAGACACCTTCTCATACCGAGAGATGCGCACCCGTTGTTCGTCTGCACAGTCGATACAGAATTCACGACCACATAACTTGCACATCTGCACGCCGCAGAATAGAGAGGCCCTGCAAGTATCTAGGCAAATATATATCAGCGAACTCTTCGAATCGAGCACCAGGCTCGAGATAGACGATTCACCGCAGGTAGAACGCGTTCCATCCAACCTGGGCGTCCAAGCAATGATGGCAGTGCATATTTGCCGCAGCCGACGATGTCTACCAATAGCGCGCGTGAGGGTTTTAGCGCATCCTTGCTACACATTGCGGTCAGCTCAGTTTGGTACCAACAGAACCTGCTTTTGGTCATACCAACATCGTATAGAAAGTCTCCATAGACGCACTAGCCGTGGCTGATTTGAATTGCAGGTTGGGGTTGCCATTGAATCCCTGCGGGCGGACTTCCAATAGTGTGTAGTCGGGTTCGGGCGATACTCGGAAGGTGCGCTGTTCAAGGACTTTGCCGCTCTTATCCGCGCCTGTTGAGAGCCAGAGATCACAGGTACTTTCAGAAAGGCTCGGGCTAGGGGGTTACCATGGTCAAATCTTACGGTAAAACTGGCATTCTTTGGGACGTTGTTGCGCGCACTTCACGCATTTGCCCAATGTGCTGGCAAATGTGGAGGCGATCTTGTGCCGGGTCCTCCCAAAGGTAGCGCAGGGACTGGTTTGGGCAACGATGATGTCAGCCATGAATGTCTGAACAAAACTGGCTCGGGCTACGCTTCGATACGGGCGCGTAATGATTCTCACGCGGACGGGGTCGATCGCAAGGAGCGTGTCTGCTTTCGGACGACGCTCGCGGTCGGGATGCCCGACAGCGCTGCGCACCACGTGAGCGTCGGCGGATCTTCGCCACGATATAGAATCATGGCTTCTAATTGACATGTTTACCACCACGACGCGTGAACGTGATGGAGGTACTAGCCGTCCCAGATACTTAGAGAGCATGAGCAAACAGCCAGTCATGGCATCTGCTACGCGAGGCTGTGCGGGTCGTCAGATGCGGCGACGACGTACCGTCCGGCTCGACGAGGAGGTTTAGCGTTGGTCCAGCCTAGTGCATGAACGCATACTAGTACGTAGAGTGCCTGGTCGGGGTCCGCAGACCTCGCCGATGGGGTTTCGGCCTCGAAATCAATCAACGGTTTTCCCACCGGGATGCTTAAGTTTGCTGCAAGCGCGTTAGAAGCCTTACCGCTCTTTCCGGGAGCCTTGTGAGCGCTGTGAGCTTCATTCGACAGTACAACTCCATTGGCGGATTTCTCGAGACCGCTCCCAGCCACTGTGCACAGAGGGAGAAACCGCGGACACGTAAGAGCGTCCAGAGTATTGGCTCGTCGGCGAGTCCCATCGGCCGCTGACCCGATGATTGGTTATCTTGTCGCTGTAGAGCACTGATGTCCGATACTCGATACTGTTTGATTTCGACACGAGTTAGTATCAAAAGCTCAACTTGTGACCTTCTCTTCTAGGAGTGCAAATTGGATGCGTGAATCGACCTACCACAGATAAGATAACCGGCTTACGGAACAGCCGCCGGGATCCGCCGACTGCGTCCGACGAGCTAGTATTCTGGACGTTCCTACGTGCCCGCGGTCCCTTCCTCTGTGCAAGGTGCTATGCGCGGTCTTGAGAAACCAGCCGATGGAGTTGTACTGCCGAATGCAGCTCACCTATCATACGTTCGCCTGATATTGCGCGGTATTCATGGTGATCTCAGAGATTCCGCCCAGACTCGTGTACATCAAGTCCCGCTTGCAGTACGCTCTTGTCCTGTATCCGCCATCCTTGCCTTAACTGGTGATAAGCCCATTAACCTACTCCCTCGTACGGTCCTAAGCAAGTTGGAGCAAAATGACGTGTAGTATTGCAGCGTTCATCGTGACATGATGTGCCCGGAGAGAGGTATTCAGGCTAAAGTTGATATTCCATAGTTACAACTCTCCTCTAGGAGGATCTAAGATATGGGAATGACATATCGGTAACGCAACATCGATCACCGTATGATACGCTACACCCGCCGCTCAGAGCGACCGAATGCGACACCGCGCCGTAAGCCAGCAGTTTGTTCTTTCACGAACGCTGACTCTGCACGCTCGTCGACAAGCGTGAATATAACACAAAGCCGGTTATGCCCGTCCTTCCAACTCCTAGAGGGGTTGTCCGTCAGACTTATCTTAGTGCATGGGACCAGATTCTCACCTGATCTGACAATCCGGACCACAGTAAACTGAGCGTTTACAAGCGGAGCACCGATAGCGCTCCTGCAGGCGTGGTATGTCCTTACGACAGGAGATACAGAAGCCTCGAGACTCAGGCCAGATACGGGACGCGGGCCGCAATGCGTGCAACTGTTGGGGCGACAAGTGTTCCACGGAGCTCTTGGATATCGTCTCAGCGTCTAAAAGATCCATGATGTAGCAAGATTGCGCTCGCATTCCATCGACGGGGCGTGATATCTGCTCCGCGAGGTCGAGAAAGGAAATAGGCTCTATTCCTTTCAAACCGGGTCGTGATGATGCGAGCTCTCGGTGCAGTAACGCAAGATAACTTCCTGAATGAGGGCTGCGTAATTTGCGGTAGAAGACCCCTGCCTGTTGGCCGCTCAACCTAGCTACCATCAGTCGGTAGTCTCAGTAAACTACTCAGTAGAGGACGTACAGACGGTGCGTAAAGATCTGATGTAGTTGACGCCACAGAAATTGACGGATGCTTCCAAAATGCGCGGTTATGCCTGGATGTATATTCGTCTCCGTGTGAATGTGAGCCACGATGAAGTGCATCGGTTCCAGATATTGCGCAAATTGTTGAGCACGCTCGGGGCTACTGATAAGCCGACCTCGTATCCCAGTCTCATCGAATGCCCTAGCACTGTACATGCTGTACACAACGTTGATGATGGGAAGCCAGATATTCCAGTGCTAGGAACAATTACGTTAGATACAACAAAACGTGGTAATCGTGCGCAGTTGCCGACTTACCTGACGTTGCTTCTGCACGAGTTCTGCGAATAGCCAAAGTAACTGCGTCACGTTGATGTACAAGAGGGAGCGGCTGGCGAAGACAACCTTTTCAAACGAAGGCGCCATGTTTCTGGATGCAGACATGGTTCGCAAAGGCGACAGTACGACCTCAAAATCGGTGTCCATCGTACGCTGTAGCTCTTCGATGGCGCGGATGGCGGCCGGTAGGAATCGATTCCAACAACGCGGCATCGTTGGATAGGTCGATGCACCCCTAGTCCGTCTGGAAAGGCGATTCTCCTTATAGGTAGGGCTATACCGGCATTTCACAGCAGACGATCACCGGTTCTGGATCTCGGCGCGCATGGCTGCCCCCGGGTAGCGTCTGCCGTGAGATGAAATCATCAAGCCTGAAGCAGTGAGAGTCAGGACGACCCACATTGCCTCGAACTGACCCAGACAGCATAATCACTCGACCGTGTTTCTTCACCGTTGCTCTCGACCAGCCTCGCTTGCTCAATAGATGTGTGTACATTCGTGTGGTGTCTACAGCGCTTGAATCTCTTCGCATGCGAACATCTACACCATCTGTGCCGCTGCTGCCGCCGTCGGTGCCTTTTTCGTCATACAACACCGACTGGTGTACCGGAGCGTTGCAGCTTGTCGATTTGGGTAGGGGAGAACGCATCCTAGCCAGGACCTAGTGATGTACTCATGCGGTCAAAGAGAGAGCCTATCAAGCAACGGCGACGTCACATACAGTAGGGGGGCAAGCTCGGGGGATGATAGATGCTGCGCAGCAACCTCGCAGAGTACGACATCCGCTGACGTGCGATTGAGATTGAGTCAGAGTTGGCGAGCAGGAATGTAGTCAGGCGACCTACTGCATGAGCTATCGCGTTGAGCGCATCACCAGAGCATCAGGCGGTGCGGTAATTCGTGACTGTGCAAGCGCGCACTGTCTACTGACAGTTGCAGACAAGTCGCAGAGCAGATGGCAGGCGAAGCGATGGCGGTGCGGCGCGGCCCAGAGCAGTACACGCGGCTTTACACGTGTCATCCAAATATGGCATCGCGTCCGCGCTCTTACAGCGCCGGTGCCGGAGGTTGCAGTTGATTCTCATCACGAGGAAGCTACACGACAAGCCTACTTCAGCAGGGCGGTAGAAAACGAGAGTTAGTGAGCTAGGACGGATAGAGATCACGAAACCGTACAATCAGCGCGACAGGGTCGCCGCTCAACCCCCTGTACTTGCGACCATCTGCTCCTCGATCTACTCTTTCATCTCAGCGCCTTTCTTGCCAAGGTACTCGAGCCCCGTGCTCCAGTCTTTCTAGGGCGCATTCTTCTCCTTATCTTCCTTGTAGAGCTCCAGTATAACTGGATTCAGGTAGCTGTTGAATGTTCTGTCGATAGGCACGTCGCATTATATTACCACCTACAACACGGACCGAGGCATCAAGCGGTCTTTGTAGTCAGACATACTACACAGCGTGTGCTTTCATCAGTACCTCATGCCCTCAACCCGTCATCAAGACTAACAACACACTACAAGTGAACGCCGCAGCACCGGGCGTTCGCATCGTGAGTCTACTGAGGGCTCGTACAATGCGAACCACTCTTATTGACCACGCGTGACTGGTATTCCGTGAGTTTGTGTTGACGCTATCAGGAGTCAATAACGCACAACTTCCGAGGCAGGCATTTTTGACCAGCGTCTCGATGCGACGGTGATACTGATCTACGTCGATGCTTGCAAGGACGATGGCTGGAGTGCTGGCCGGCACAGAAACGTCGCAGAGACGCCCAGATTGCCAGAGATATTCGCCCTTGCTAGAGCCTGCGAGGACCTTGACGCGTTCGGAAATCTTGAGTCCCAGAGACTCCCACTGACTATCGTAGTCCCTGAATGCTATAGAGTCGCCGCCGCGGAGAGCTTGCAGGTGGACAGTCACGGGAGGGTCGAACGCCTGCCCACAACCTTGTGAGCAATCTTCGCATGTGGATATAATTACAACGATGATGACCTCAGATGCTTACCTTCGAGAAAAGCCACACTGTGAGTGTCTGTGATGATGGCGGCATGGGCAGGAGCTCGACGCTTGGGCTGCGCGGGATTGAACGCTGATGGCGTTTGACGGACGACTCTGGTTCCGACTCTGAGTCCGTGATCTCTATGTAATCAGCTCCAGACCTCACTCCAGGGAGCGCTGCTGATACAGAACCCCCGGGAGCACGTTTCGAATGACGGGAGGAGACGCTTCCAGACCACGAAGAGCGGCCGCTGTAGGGAGATTGCGGTGACGAGCGCACGGGTCCTAGTGTACGCACAGGTGCGTATGCATTCGGAACTTGTCTAGTGCCCTGTGTCGCAGAAACTTGTGTAAGATGTCTCCGCGGTCACGATGGGGAACGTGCTCACCTGGGAGTGAAGCTCGAGACTGCTGGGCAAAAGGTGTTGCGCTTGCAGTTTACGCGCGAGCATACGGTCTCGGAGATCTTGTAGGACGGCCGGATCCATCCGACGAGAGACGTACATGAAGATTCCATCAGTGGCTTGAGCGTCGTCTGGGTGCGCGAGCCGACACTATGCAACCAGACGTATCAGAGCAGGTGTTGACACGTTGTTTGAAAGCATACCTCAATGAACCATCGACCGTCATCAGGCGTGCCGGTGAAACACTGGATATCCTTGAGAAGAAAGTGTCCCATGCCTCGGCAGCGGCGGCGACGGTATGCCACAAAGTCCTTGTCAACGGGCCCTGCGCTTGCCTTCAGTTCGCGTCGGTGATCGTCCTCGATGGATTTCAAGATGCTGGCGCGGAGTCTGGCTTTGGAAGGAGACATGGGTAAGAACACCGGTCTAGGTATGGTGCTGAATGCTCAGTCTTGTAAGCGTTCAGTCTTGTATGCTTCTAGAATTCAGGGCGTACCAGAAGACGAGCTCATCTTCATCCGGTATGGAAAGAGACGCTGAATCCAGCGATGATGTGATGGCCCAGTATTCACAAGACCCCTTCGCATGTGGAATGCTACCATGAGAACTCGCCCTGAGTTTCGTGAAGCTTCCGGGAAAGTAGCGGTTTCGCCGGCTTTGTCCGTAGATTGCGCTTGTGTGAGACGACACATGGATGTACGACGTTCTGCACCCATGACCCAGCAATGTCAGCTCTGCAAGGCTAGGATTCACTGCGTACTTGAGATGCGAAACGGTATCGCTCAGAAATATCGAGCGGCAGTACCGGTGGGGCACGGCGCAGGAGCAACGAGCCGCAGACGGTGTAGCTCTCGCCTTCCCTACTAGACGAGGATGAACGCCCTCGACCATATTCACAGCCCTGGAAGGCGGGTAGACGTGGAGCAGCAGACTGTATGAGAATAGAAAGCGTTTCCATGAGCATGAGAAGGTGCCGGCCGTTGCCCTTGCGTTGCAAAGCATCATTCTTGGAGGCTACGCCACAGGGAAAGGAAGGATCCCACAGCGCCGACGCTGATCAACGGCACCGGTGCTTCTCCACCGGGCTGCAGGAGCTAAGTGCGCATCTATAGCATGAGTGTCCTATACGCATAGTTGTGGGACCTCCCCTTGCAAAGCCTATAGTTCACGGTTTCCCTGCACAGCCGTTTTGTAAACTCTCGTATCCGATCCTTCCCTCGACGCACAAGGGAACATGCCTACACTCTCGAACGCGCCAAGTCGCGGTCGCTTAGGACTAGCGAAGCGCAGGCGCGGACGTCCAGCGAACACGGGCCCCTTGCAAGAACGTATGATTGTGGGGGATGTTGGCGTATATCGCGCGCTGAAGTCACGACACGCACCACAGAAAGACGTCACTGAAGCCATTGATCTCGAAGCTAGAAAGCTCATTGGACGATTCGGCTGGAAGGATCCACTACGCGCATGTGCAGAGAAGGAGACCCAAGAGGGTGATGGCGATTCGGTGGATGAGGATGAGCAGAAGCGCCGGGATAAGACTTTCAAGCAAGTTCGCGGGGTGCGTTCATGAGTACATTTACACGTATCGTGTTGTGCCGCGCTTAACAATCATTAGGAAGTGAACAAGCTCTGGAGGAACAATCTATCCGTGAAAGCTGATGCGGACCTGAAGCCTTCAACCGAAATCGTTGAGTTGATCAAGATCTTCGCGCGCAAACCTCGTAAAAAGCACCTGTATAAACTTTGGGCGACATCGAAAGCCCGTCCAGAGCTTGAGGCTGCGGTGGATGAACGCCATGCAGCCGTCACACAGAGTGTGAAGCCGGGGTCCGCTCCTCCTCCTCGTGTAGCAACTTGGAGTGCAGTGGCAGCCGAATGGTATAAGGCGGCGAGCGCTCATGAGAAGGAGACGACTCGCCGAGAGGCGAACTTAGTGCACAGGGAGGCCATGAAGAAGTGGGAAGCGAGCGCTTCTGCGTTGCCGAAATCCCGCGAAGAAGCGATAAAGTACGCTAGCCGCCAGGCAAGAGTATCCCGTTGAAATGCTCCACATACTGACCGCACAAAGGTTTATGGAAGCATCCCAGACGTTCTTGAGTGACTTGATGCATTTCTTCGCCAATCGCGCATCTGGAATGGCGATCATGTTTTTGAGCGGCCCCTGCGGTGCAAGCCTTGTGTAAATCTCCAAATCTCTGGTCCGAAGCAGTTCGAGATAAGACTCACATCTGAATTAGGTCGGAAGGCGTATGCAATGTCATTGGGCAACCCAAACTGCTGTATACGGAGGTGAATCCGGGCGGGTGCGATTTCTTCAAGTACGAGTTGGACAAACAGGTGCGCATATTGAACGGTGCGCATCTTATGAGTCGTCACATTGCGCTCCGCATCTCTAAGTTATAACCCCCAGAGACTAAATGGGGTCAAGATCTTGAGTTCGGCTCTCTGCGTAGCTTGACGAGTGAGTGTCCGAACGAAGACGGAGACGAAGAAGCGAACGGTGAAGATGACGGTGACGGTGACGATGAAGATGACGACGATGCCGATGACGAACCAGCCGCCGCCGCGACCACCGCCACCGTTGCTACCGCCACCGCCACCGTCACCGACGACGACGACGACGACGACGACGACGACGACGACGACGATAGTGATGAGGAAGAAGTCAACCGCTATGCAAATGAAAAGGGAGTCGAGTATTTGCTGCCTCCGGCGCTCATCGATGCTACCCATATACAACCAGAGTGCGACAAGGGTAAGTTGCGCTACCAGCCCCGGCTGAAGAGGCTCGTTGATGCTCCATGCCAGACGAAGAGAGAGGGCCAGATGTAACCCCAGTGGTCGACCCAACTATCGCGGACATGCACGTACCTGCGCACGTAAGCCACCTGATCGGCATGCAGCAGCAGCGGTTCGATCTGAATGATCGTCTTCCACACAGAGCGAACCATCGCGAAGCGCTATAAGCGGGGAGCACAGTACCGTAACTGCATCCTCGTTTTCATTTCACGTTCTGGAGCGATGCCCTCAACAAAGTGTCTCAATGGTATGTCTAAACGTTGTTGGCGTAATGGGCCAGGCGATGTTGACCGGCATCTACAGGCAGAGTACCAACATAAGTTTCGTGTCGCACTGGCCAGAATCCTGCCGCACAAGATATGGCTAGAAGAATCCAACACGGTAAACTTCCTCAGAGCGGTACCAACCAAACTCTCGGATCGGATAGACGTCAGCATAGCGTACGAGCTGAGCCTAGCCTATCTGGCGTATGAGTCAAGCAATGCGGTCAGTACATTGACATCTAGAGTCGTGCAAGATGCTCACGTCGTGCAAGAATGAGATATCTCTATCGTTGAAGACGGCGCGGAGGGTTGACGGTCAGGAGGGAGAGGCAAAGCCAAGTTACATCCACGACCTGTCTCTGAGAGACTTCAAATCCCGATGGAACGCCAGAGCAGATGATGCTACTAGAACGCCTGCGAAGTTAGACGCCGATGTTAACATCACCTTACCCCGTCAGTGGGCGCTCTTGCAGCCAGCAGCACGCATCGATGAGCAAGGGCGAATATGCATTCTCGCTGACGCGCAGATGGACTGGAAGGGCGCCCTGTTACCAGGCTTGGATGGGGTGCGTCTTCTGGTCGTGACGGCGTTAGTGTGGGCATGGAGTATCAAGGGGGAAGAGGAACGTACCGAGTGGTCTAACTTGGCCCTCGACATGACCTCCGTTCTCCAGATACTGACCGTCCAGGTTGGCGTTCGGGATGTTGGAGGGCTTTCGGTAGCGCAAGGTATCGACGGATATTTAAAGAGTCGTAAGTCGACGCGCAAAGGGTGAGTTTTGATATCTGTCGATGGCTACTCCTGACAGACGGCAACAGGAAAAAGAGTGCTAAGCTGCGAGACTTGTGAAGCGCTCGAGCAATGGGATGATGAAGTCCGGGTCCAGATCTTAGTAGTGGATGTCGAGGCATGTGATACACGCTTCGGACAACGGGCCGATGATCGCCTTCCGCCTCCACGCACTCCCATTCAGCTCAAGTTCCGCCCGCCTCTCCAAATGCTTGGAAGACACGCTTGGAGCTACACATCACTCTCACTTGTACCGCCCTGTTGCGCACCTTTTTGTGTTGCTCACGTACATACCATGTATCCGTTTCCGCCCGTGTCCGTCTTGTGGTGCACCAAATAATCTCTTCACCGCTAAATCTGCACGGAGGATGTGTTTACCAGTGCTCCTCTCGCGGTCGGTATATTAGAACTCAAGAGCCCAAGAGCACACCGGAGAAGCTGTGTACGCGGCGACAGAACGTGGGGAGCGGAACATTCCTCCAGAGCAATTCGGCATCATTCGTGCTGATCTACTTGAATCCGAACCACCACCATGTTACAGAGACTCCTGTAACGCATTACATGCTGTATCCCGCGAGTTCCCTTTGCTCAAATAATGCAACCTCCGAGACGGTCTTTAGCAAGGTCTCGCTTCGAAACTACTACCCCGACTCAATCAACTTACACCGATGCACACACTTTCCTACCATGGCGTCTACCGCGGTCCCACGAGCGCGTCTCGCTCTTGGACTTACCGTCATCAGCCGTACTCTTGATGGCCTATCGCACTGTTAGCACTCCGTCCAACATCTGCCGCCTCGCTGTTTTCCACCCAGGTCTCCGATGCCGCCACTTCCGCCCTCCCCCCTCAACAAGCTACCTAAGCCGCGTGCAACCGGTTGACCTCAGACGTTCTCGGTCAGTAATCAGATGATGTATCATTGTACAATT